TGGACTCGTGATGGACTAATAAAGATAATTTACCATGCTCGTCCACTAGACATACTTGAAGTGAACAGCGTGGCCACTGATCATTGAAGGAGCTGGTTCAGCCGCGCTAAAAACACAAGTCCTGTGCTATTTCGCTTAAACGTTTATAAATCAAATTTGTATAACTGACGGAAAAATAACAAGCTTTACGTTAATAACCCGCTCTAGCGAATAATACAGACACCCAGGACATGCATCTGTCTAATTAAATGGAATTTTCACCAATAACTGCCTTTTATTCACAACTGGACTCTGAAAAATTCACAACAAGCTTGTCTCGAAAAAATAATTTAATCAGGGAAAAATCTAATTATCAGTGCCTGATGCTTAAGATCAGAATTACGTCCCTCGCGCGCACTAAAGAGTAATACTCGCCCTGGAACACACACAAGACATGAAAATTCGAATTTTCACCAATAAGTCAGATTCTAGCCCAAGCTGGACTTAGAAATTTTCTACCTAAATTTCCAACAAAATTTTATAAAAAATGTAGATTCTACCGTCCTAATGGTAAATCTAGAAAAACATTACTCGCATCGACTAGGAAATCCTAATGACACCCGGATCGTACCCGTGATCTGCGAATATTAATTAATTACAGTTAACAGAATTTTCCGACGTGGACTTAGACGAAATTCTACTCCAAAATACACTTAGAAATTTTCCACCAAATCGGTCAAACATTTACAATAAAAATCACTATCACTTAGCAACATAAAACTCACTGTACCGATAGTGACCGACAGGAAGTATTAAGTCCAGAGGATTAACTACGCTCTAGAAAACACGCCTCTGACTTAGACTAATTTCAATTGGGAAAGAAATAATAATTTTACGAACTTTGCCTTATTTTCAGGGAAGAACACTTAACACTTATAACACAGGGTAACTGAATTTAGGGAAAATCTTTAACATCTAGAAAACACAAATATGGGGGAAATACGTTATTTAAATTTAACTACACTTAATTAAAGATTCACTCAACTTAATCTTAATCCTAATCGACTTACCTAATCTTAATCCTATCAGCCCCTCACGACCCCAAAATTCGCCAACCCCACTCAATCGCACTGTTGTGGGGGGAACCGCTAATCCTGGTTCGTGGGCCCATGGCTGGCCTCCCTAACACCTACACACGTGTCTGAATGACTAGGCGCATGAGCTTTCATCAATTTCTAACAAAATTGGTGAAACCACCGCTGTGCACCATTGTAATACGGGGAGGGGGGATATCGGCTCTACCTCCGTCCTTACCCGCCCGTATTCTATTTACTTCAACGTAATTCCAAGGGACCCCAGAGTTAACTTTGCCGAATCTCGCGCCACGTGGTCTTACCCACTCGATCGGCATAGATTCTACAGTCCCCGCGACGCCGTACTAGACTTCTAGCAAACTCAAGGATCTCCTGCTGCCACCACCAGACCATTAACCCGAAGCGTTAATTAATCGGAGTCTGGACCGATTAATCAATCATTATAACCTTGGGGCTTGATCTCCCAAATTACTTGGAAAAGGAGGGATGAATCTACGTTCAGTGTGGGAATTACAGAAAACAAGGGGGTATATATATTATATCTTACTTTCCTAGGCTGGCGACCCAAAATAAACTTTGACTCGTAAAGACCCCGTGACAAGGACATGCAAAGTTATTCATGGAACCAATAAAATACAGAGAACAATCTAATGATTTATTTACGCTTATTCTATAATTAAGTCTCCATTAGCTCTTCTGTCTTCCAGTGACGTGATTTAGTTACCGTAGTCTCAACTTGTAGCATAAGCCCTTCAGCTTGGCTAGTAGTCTGGTGGAATATCTCTGAACCTTCTCCAATTTAGTCTTGTGTTTGACAAGATACAACCTCCATGCCGGAGCTGCATACTTCAGGATTGGTCTGACATATGTGGTATTCAAGGTTCTGAAATATCCCATTCACAAGTTTCAAAAAGCCGTTCGTATGTTGGCCAATCTGGCATATGCCGCTGATGATATCTTCTTAATGTGGGCTTCAGGGGACAGGTGTGGCATGACAGCAACTCCCAGGCCTTTCTCTCTTCCAGATTCTAGAGGGATTTCATCTCCCAAATGGTATCTTGTTTCCGGTCTCCTGCTCTCTTCACTTGTCTTCATTAATTTGTATTTTCTCGAGTTAAACTCTAAAAGCCATTTGACAGACCATTACTTCAGTTTGTCAAGGTTATTTTGAAGCCTCATACTGTCTTCCTGTCATAATGCTTCTCATATTTTTAGCATCATCAGCAAACAATGACAGAAATGATTCTATACCCTTTGGAAGATCATTTAAATACATCAAAAACAGAATAGGTCCGATTACAGAACCCTGTGGTACTCGGCTAGAAATATCATGCTATCCTGAGACCTCACCCTTCATAGTAACTCTGTTTCCTATTGATAAGGTACTCCCTTGTCCTCTGGAGCACCCTACCAGTTACTCCTACCTCTTTCTCCAACTCATGCACCAGCCTCTTATGGAGTACTATGTCTAAGGCTTTTTCAGTCCAAGAAAGCACAGTCTGTCCACCTTTCTCTTTCTTGACTAATTTTTGTCACCTGATCATAAAATTCTATTAGACCTGTGAGACAAAATCTGCCATTCTGAACCCATGTTGGTGGTGAGTCACGAAGTCCCTTCTCTACAGATAGGCTATTTTTTCGTCACGTTCTTCTCCTTCACTTTGCATGATATGCAAGTTAGGGATACTATACTGGTCTGTAGTTCAGTGCCTCTTGCCTCCCACTCTTTTCGTATATTGGGACTACATTAAGTGTCTTCCGTATTTCCGGTAGGTCTCCAGTTTCCAGTGACTTATTATGCACTATGGACAGAGACAAGCAAAGTGCTTCTGCAAACTCTTTTGGATCCATAGAGAGATTCTGTCAAGTCCAACATCCTTTCTCATGTCCAGATTCATCAGCTACCTCCTAACTTTAGTCTCCATGGTGTAGTGGTAAGAAACACGCCTGGCGTTCCGCGAGCGCTATGTCATGGGTTCGTACCCTGGCCGGGGAGGATTTACTGGGCGCAATTCCTTAACTGTAGCCTCTGTTTAACGCAACAGTAAAATGTGTACTTGGATGAAAAAACGATTCTTCGCGGCGGGGATCGTATTCCAGGGACCTGCCCGAAACGTTACGCGTACTAGTGGCTGTAAAAGGATGTAACAACTCTTGTATATATCTCCAAAAAACTTCATCTCAGGCATTTTCGAACCCTTCCAAAGCTGCCTGGTTTGTTACAGCATCTCTTAGTTTGGGGACCTCACCTCGTTCTATTGTCAAAGCCTCCTGGAATCTCTTGTTGATTTCTTCAGACTCCGCTGTTGTTCTTTGATTGCCTGCATTCATTTTCATCACTTGTTCTTTCACTATTGATTTTCTCCTGATGTGACTGTGGAGAAGTTCTGGGTCGGTTTTGACTTTATTTGCAATGTTTACTGGCTCTCTGCTTCACTTCACACAGTGAGGTATTTATTCTTGGCCCTCTGGTATCTTTCCCTGCTCTCTGTTGTTCTGTTATTTCTGTAGTTGCCAACGCCCTTGTATGTGAGTGCCTTGCTTCCTCACATGCCTGATTAAATAGCGGATTCCTCTTTTGCTTATTATTCTATACTTTTTGAATGGCAGAAACATATTAACTCCATCTTTTCATTTTTTGTGTGACATAATCCATCGTGTCTTGTACAGACTTTTCTCTAAGTTTTGTTTCTCATCGTATTTTTGTTAGGAACTTTCTCGTCCCCTCATAGCTTCCGTTTCGAATTGTTAGCCCTTATCTTTCCAGTCCTTTTCCTGGGGAAAAATTACCCTTCACTCCATCAAATTCTCAAATGATAGTACACTGTGAACACTTCCAACACTGGCAAACCATGGGGCGTCAAAATTAACATCACTTTCGCCCCACGGTGCCGCACATGTGCGTCACTAAGTTTTGTTTTCTTTCCGCATGGGTGACACTGGCGGGCGTCACTAGAATAAATATTTGTATCAATTCCAATTTCGATCCGATCTACTTCGGGATAGTTTACAAATGTTTGCCATGAAATTTACGTTTTTTCTAATAGATGAAGAGCTTATTTGGGAAAACGGCATGGCAGTGAATCATTGTGGTAAAACAATTGTGTTATTGACACGACTCGTATGATTGACGTAGTTTTTATATTTGTTGCCAGTCGAACGCATCCTTATGTGACGTTTTATACTTATGTTCTTCTACAACATTATATTGCGAACACATTGGTACAAAAATGAAATACGTACATCGAAAAATAATGTCAGGACAGTGAATTGAATATACACTTTTCAATTCGGGTTTCGCCGATATGCCGCCGCGGGTAACGCTTCGGCCACTTCCCACACTCTTGTGGGTGGGTTGCGACATTGATTCTATATTTATATGCATATATCCGTGTAGAGAATTTTATTGCGATTTCAGTGATACCAAAATTAACCCTGTAGGACAAGTGTGGAGTTGACAACCCTGAAGATAGTAGAAACATTTCGTTGCTGTCTGGCGCTCACGGCTGGTGATCGACGTAGTTTTTTATTTGGTGCTGATCTAACTTATGTTTTGGTGACATTTTATACTAATGTTCTTCTAGAACATTCTATTGCGAACACATTGGTATAAAAATTAAATACGTACATCGAAAATTAACGTCAGGACAGTGACAAGACTATACACTTTTATATGTTGCCGCTCGATCGCCCGAAACGGTAATTTCACTTGGGGAAAGTTTTTTTTTTTTTTCATACGCCGTTTAGCGAAAGTGATAATTATTAACTTCCCTTATGTCCGATTTATTTAGGGTGAATATCAGATCGAGTCTAGCTGAAACATTCTCTCGTATCTGTGTGTATGTGTCTGTTTGATTTGGTGTGTTTGTTATATATATTATTTTTAAAAAGCGTCTTCTTATGATTAGCACTCCTTTTGTGTTACAGGAAGCGATGGATGAGAGTTCCCGGGCAGTGAAGCAACCTCCTCAGTACGTTGCTGGCGAGGTGAGTAACGCTTCCACTCCATCATAATATACTTTTTTTTACTTTCTGTTAAGCAGTTTCTGCTCGAACTTGCAATATAAAAAATATTTTCCTAAGACACTCTTAATAATTTGCTCCATTAATGGAGAGCACTGATCATGTGATCAGAGAATGCATATAAAAACTCTGTAAGTTTGCAATAGAGAGACATGAAAAGGATTCTGATCTTTCGTCGGCCGTCAGTGTTACACTGAGAGGGATCTCTTGGAATCATTAAATTTTATATATATAGATTACTTATTGTTGTGGAGTGATGAATGACGGTCTTACAGATGTATTTAAATAATTAATACGTATGACAAGGCAAAGTTTGGTGCATCTTTAATGGATACAAATTATAGTTTAGTCCTGACAAAAATGAAAATTGTTGTGCTAAGCATTTTATATTTATGATCAGAAATATGTAGTTTGGTCCCTGAAAGTGTTATAATCTATATTTAAAAGCTTTAATGCGGAGAGCTAATTTCAAATAAACTTAGGTTTTTCATGCACAGAATAAGAGGAGACTTCCTTCACGGAATTTGCATCGCCAGAGATCACAGAAAAGTGGTTCATGGTATAACTTACCTTGAGGTTACCTTGCGTTCGTTCCAAGGAGCAACGTTCCTGCGGCCCAATCTCTCACGAGGCCTCCTAGTTGGTGGTCTGGATAACAAGGCTGTTAGACGCAGCTGTTCACAGCCTGACGTATGAATCACAGCCCGATTTTTCAGGCTTTCATATGAGGAGTTTACAAAGTTTTATTTTTAACACTAATAGTTCATCTAGTTATGCCCTTTATTTTAACATGGAGAACTGAAAAGTCTAGAGCTCTTAATAATGAGATAATTCTCTCCTCCTTTCTCCCGTTCCAATCCTAAATCCTTATCCTGACTCCATCCAAGTGCTATATAGTCGTAATTGCTTGGCGGTTTTCCCTGATAGTTCCCTCCCTACCTCTCAGCATACATATTTCACCTTTTCAACAGGTTTATTTTGTACGCATGTCATGCCTCCCTGTCTCATGTGGTGTTATTTCAATGGGGAAGCAATGCCCGTAATATGTTCCGACTGTAAATTATTATAAATCTCTACTGCCGTTTTCTTATAAATTACTATAAATCCCACTTCCCTAGAAAAGTGGAATTATAGTGGCAGAGGCATATTTTAGTCAATGTGATAGTTGTGGTGTATGTTAGTTGATGTGGTAGTGTGATTTGTTGAGAAACAAACTAGTCGTTTTGGTAGATTTTTACAAAAATAGTAGAAACATCAAATAGCATTGATCACCACCCCCCCTCCTCTGCCTCTCTCCGGCGCAGTCTATATTTGCGGCTGAAGGCGCAGATGCCGCATGAACTGACGCTTTTGTCATTCTTCATTTTCCGTCGATGGATTACAGGAGATGCTGGTGAAGGCCCAGGTGCCGCATGTGGAGAAAGGGGTCTTCGAGTTCTACCTCTGCCCTAAGACAGGCCCCGGGGATGAAGACTGCCTCATGAGGTGATACATCAAGTCTTTCTAGGCATAGTCCCCAACAGTTAGAATATTCACATACAGTTTGATAGAAAGGCAAATGTCATTACAGTCAAGCAGTATTAAATACAACTAGGAATTTATATTATGAATAGTTACAATGTATCTATATTATTACAAAATATCTGAAATATATTTGGTAAATTTTCATAACTTTCATTACAGAGAAGCCAAATTCATTTAGTTTCTAACTGTTGAATAATATTTAATCACGTTAAACAAGTTTAAACATTGTTTGCTTATTGCTTTATGAACTGGTATATGTGAGTTTAAATATTTTATGCAACGGATATTTCTCTAAGATGTCATTTTAAGTATGTTTCTGAGACATGACCTAACTTGACCTTATGACATGACGCGCAGGTGGCCCTTGGAGATATCCGGGGTGGAAGGCCGTCAGTATAAGATGGACAAGAATACCCAGGGAGGAGAGTACAATATACCTCTCATCATACCTGACCACTTCACCTGTGATTCCTGCACTCTTCAGGTGAGTAGTCTATTTTAGCTGTTGTCCTTTATCTGCTTCACTGTCTTCTTCTCTTTCGTTGTCTCTCTTTTCAAAATCACACAAGCTATATATTATTAATGACCAAACCACACGTCAGAAAATGAAGAGACGACGACGTCGCTGCGTTGACTCTTAACCTTTTTCCTTTCAATGGAAAATGCTACTTTCAAACTTTGGGTGTTGCTATGGGTTCCTCTCTCCCATCTCCTTGCCAGTCACTATATGGAACATCTTGAAGCCGTTCTTCCCACTATTAATAATCGACCTTCTCTCTGGCTTCGGTATGTAATGATGTTTTTGCTCTATGGCCTCATGAACCTTGTCATTTCCAACCTCTTTTGAGCTCCTCCCCTGACAATCTGGTTCCTTCTATTATTTTCATAAATGATTGGGAATCAAATTCCCTCTTTCCTTTTTTAGACGTTCATGTTCACAGCTCTGGGTCTAAGTTGTCTTTCTCTGTTTACTCAAGCCTACGCACAGTGATATGTACGTTCACTTATTTTCCCCCTTCTAATGAGAAAAGGAATCTGGTTTATCTCTTCAAGGCCCTAGCATGAGTAACCCGCAGTTTCTTGATTATGAAATTTATTTTATTTTTATTTTTTTTATTTTTATTTATTTTATTTACATGTATCTCTCGCCTTGGATACCTTACATTTTATCAACTGTGGCTATTCTCAAGTTAAACTAAATATTTTCATCCCAAACTTGTTTCGAACACTAGTAACACTGTGTTCTACCTTCACGTCATATCTGAATTCTAAAATGTGACTAATACCTTTCGTGTTCTTGATTTCGACTTTTCGACAAACTAACACACGGAAGTAATCTGGTTCACACTGCTCCTCCTGCTTCTAATGCTACTCTATTTCCTGCTCGTCTTGTCCTCTTCAATACGTGGTGAAACTGGCCGCACACTAAATGAAAGACTTAATGCACACGAAAGAACTGTAGACATAAACACTGCTCTCTTCTGTCATATTAGGGACTCTAATCATGCTATTGATTGGTCTTCTACAATAATCTTTCCTGACTCTACTCTTAACAGACGCCATCTTGTTAACTCGGCTTTGATACACAACACACCCAACATGACCCTTAATCCTAGCGTGTTGCTGTTGACTCTTCCCTGTCACAATACATACTTAAATATTCCAATCTTCTTAACAAACGTGACCTGACTTAAGCCTTGCCTTTTTCACTTATTCTTACCCACTTTTCCTATACTTACCTTCCTTTTATTATCATCCAATTCTTTAGTTTAATCTTACTCATACTTTTTACTTTACACTCATCTATTCTTACCTTTTTCTCTTACCTTCATTTTATTCTTACCTTTTTCTCTTTCCTTCATCTTACTCTTACCTTTTTATTATTCTTACCTTCATCTTATTATTTTCTTCAACTTATTCTTACATTCATCTTATTATTTTCTTCAACTTATTCTTACATTCATCTTATTATTTTCTTCAACTTATTCTTACATTCATCTTATTATTTTCTTCAACTTATTCTTACATTCATCTTATTATTTTCTTCAACTTATTCTTACATTCATCGTATTCTTACATTTTTCTTATTCTTACCTTCATCATTTTCTTACCTTCCTTTTTTTTCATCCAATTCATACCTTTCTTCTTATTCTTCCCTTTTTCTCTTACCTGCTCCTCACCTCTCACTCACTCTCTTACCTTATTTATTTGTTTGATTTGTTTGTCCCTTCGTCTCTTCTGTCACACGACTGGATAATGGTTCAGGACGAACGGAAACGTCATTCTTCATTTTCTGATGTGTAGTGTGGTCATCATATCTTCAGCCACGTTATTGTGATTCATCGTATGTTTTTTTTATTATTCACATCATTTATTATTATGAGTGTTGCCATGAGAAGGATTCGAACCTGCACACTGGGCACTCCTAAGCACACACCTTAAACCACTTAATAACGATATTCTCTAAATCAAAGAAACCTGGTACTTATCTGAATCTAGGGGTCCTGAGGCTTCCACTGAAGCCAAATAGGGGTTTTCCTCATTACCCATATGCACTCTGGCTGTGGTATAGGAGTTCTACCTTCCACACTTCTCTTCCGATACGCAAAAATATCACATTAATGTGATTTGTGATTCGTGGTTTCAATCCCAGGTTTCATTGTTTTTAAGCATGTCGTTGTTAAATGGTTTAAAACATGTGCTTGGGAGTACCCACTGTGCTGGTTCGAATCCTCCTCGTGACTTCTACTGATTGTCTCATTGATGCATCACATTAATGAGATTTCTTTTGTGCATTATGGTTGTTTTTAAACAAATATTACTTTACATATTGTCATTTGCTTGTTACAAGCTTTAAGTCCACTTTTTTTCTGTACAGATATCTGCAACAATGTTAATTTTGCCTAATGCAAATAGGCAAAATGGGGGCATAATGCAAAAGTATACAGTAAATGAAAACTGGTTCGGTTTCATTCAAAATTTTTGACGAGTTGTATATGAAAAGGGGTTTCATCTGGTCCAAGTCTCAGCATCGTAGCGTAAATACGAAGGGAGAAAAAATATATTGAATTATGTGTCGAAAAATTTCCAAAATGGTCAAAAATTAACATCAAACACAAGTATCAACTGAAATCATGTCTATGACTCAGGTATCACAAAAGCATATAATAAAAACAATTATAAATAGTTATATACAACGAAAATAGTTAAAAAAAAAGTATTTTTTTTTGTTTTGTTTTTCATTTTTGTTCTTATTTGTTTATCGAATGATTTCCATGAAACTTATACACCTGACTGCACGTAAGCCTGTCTATAAGGGTGAAAATTTTGCAGGAAATTGGTTGATGTCAACTTGATGTCAATATATATATATATATATATATATATATATATATATATATATATATATATATATATATATATATATATATATATATATATATATATATATATATATATATATATATATATATATATATATATATATATATATATATATATGACGTACCTAATAGCCAGAACGCACTTCTCAGCCTACTATTCAAGGCCCGATTTGCCTAATAAGCCAAGTTTTCATGAATTAATGTTTTTTCGTCTACCTAACCTACCTAACCTAACCTAACCTAGCTTTTTTTGGCTACCTAACCTAACCTTACCTATAAATAAAGGTTAGGTTAGGTTAGGTAGGGTTGGTTAGGTTCGGTCATATATCTACGTTAATTTTAACTCCAATAAAAAAAAATTGACCTCATACATAGAGAAAAGGGTTGCTTTATCATTTCATAAGAAAAAAATTATAGTAAATATATTAATTCAGGAAAACTTGGCTTATTAGGCAAATCGGGCCTTGAATAGTAGGCTGAGAAGTGAGTTCTGGCTACTAGGTACGACATATATATATATATATATATATATATATATATATATATATATATATATATATATATATATATATATATATATATATACACAACTTTAGAACACTTTCCCACCAGGAGACTCAAACCCTAGCCAGCACAGAAGCCTTCCAGCAACTGGCATAACAGGTACGCCTTTAACCCACTGCACCACCGCTCAGACCCTTAAAAGAGATGGTAATTTTGGAGTATTTATACACACCAAAGACCACCATCTCCCAAGAGCACTAGAGCAAGTGAGGGGTCATTTTTACGTTTTTCATCAAGTCCCTGTTAATATGGGAGAACACTGTGTCTATGCTTGATGCACAACTCTCCTAAACACGAGAGAGTTTACACTTGCTCTTGGGAGATGGTGGTCTTTGGTGTGTATAAATACTCTGAAATTACCATCTCTTTTAAGGGTCTGAGCGGTGGTGCAGTGGGTTTAAGGTGTACCTGTTATGCCAGTTGCTGGAAGGCTTCTGTGCTGGCTAGGGTTCGAGTCTCCTGGTGGGAAAGTGTTCTAAAGTTGTATAATTTCACTCTCGTGTTTAGGAGAGTTGTGCATCAAGCATAGACAGTGTTCTCCCATATTAACAGGGACTTGATGAAAAACGTAAAAATGACACCTCACTTGCTCTAGTGCTCTTGGGAGATGGTGGTCTTTGGTGTGTATAAATACTCCGAAATTACCATCTCTTTTAAGGGTCTGAGCGGTGGTGCAGTGGGTTTAAGGCGTACCTGTTATGCTAGTTGCTGGAAGGCTTCTGTGCTGGCTAGGGTTCGAGTCTCCTGGTGAGAAAGTGTTCTAAAGTTGTAAAACTTCACTCTCGTGTTTAGGAGAGTTGTGCATCAAGCATAGACACAGTGTTCTCCCATATTAACAGGGACTTGATGAAAAACGTAAAAATGACCCCTAACTTGCTCTAGTGCTCTTGGGAGATGGTGGTCTTTGGTATGTATAAATACTCCGAAATTACCATCTCTTTTAAGGGTCTGAGTGGTGGTGCAGTGGGTTAAAGGCATACCTGTTATGCCAGTTGCTGGAAGGCTTCTGTGCTGGCTAGGGTTCGAGTCTCCTGGTGGGAAAGTGTTCTAAAGTTGTATAACTTCACTCTCGTGTTTAGGAGAGTTGTGCATCAAGCATTGACACAGTGTTCTCCCATATTAACAGGGACTTGATGAAAAACGTAAAAATGACCCCTCACTTGCTCTAGTGCTCTTGGGAGATGGTGGTCTTTGGTATGTATAAATACTCCGAAATTACCATCTCTTTTAAGGGTCTGAGTGGTGGTGCAGTGGGTTAAAGGCATACCTGTTATGCCAGTTGCTGGAAGGCTTCTGTGCTGGCTAGGGTTCGAGTCTCCTGGTGAGAAAGTGTTCTAAAGTTGTAAAACTTCACTCTCGTGTTTAGGAGAGTTGTGCATCAAGCATAGACACAGTGTTCTCCCATATTAACAGGGACTTGATGAAAAACGTAAAAATGACCCCTAACTTGCTCTAGTGCTCTTGGGAGATGGTGGTCTTTGGCGTGTATAAATACTCCGAAATTACCATCTCTTTTAAGGGTCTGAGCGGTGGTGCAGTGTGTTAAAGGCGTACCTGTTATGCCAGTTGCTGGAAGGCTTCTGTGCTGGCTAGGGTTCGAGTCTCCTGGTGGGAAAGTGTTCTAAAGTTGTATAACTTCACTCTCGTGTTTAGGAGAGTTGTGCATCAAGCATAGACACAGTGTTCTCCCATATTAACAGGGACTTGATGAAAAATGTAAAAATGACCCCTCACTTGCTCTAGTGCTCTTGGGAGATGGTGGTCTTTGGTGTGTATAAATACTCCGAAATTAACATCTCTTTTAAGGGTCTGAGCGGTGGTGCAGTGGGTTAAAGGCGTACCTGTTATGCCAGTTGCTGGAAGGCTTCTGTGCTGGCTAGGGTTCGAGTCTCCTGGTGGGAAAGTGTTCTAAAGTTGTATAACTTCACTCGTGTTTAGGAGAGTTGTGCATATATATATATATATATATATATATATTATATATATATATATATATATATATATATATATATATATATATATATATATATATATATATATATATATATATATATATATATATATATATATATATATATATATATATATATATATATATATATATATATATATATATATATATGTCGTACCTAGTAGCCAGAACGCACTTCTCAGCCTACTATGCAAGGCCCAATTTGCCTATTAAGCCAAGTTTCTAATCCCACGACCAGATCTTGTGGTCGTGGGATTAGAACAGCGGGAGAACAGTAACCTTAGGCTGCTTAATAAGGTCGGTCGCCACGCTGTTGACCAGTCATGTTGGCGGACGAGCAAATAATAGCGTCAGACCCTCCCTCCTGCCACCAACTTCCGAGTCAGAGAGAGAGAGAGAGAGAGAGAGAGAGAACTCTCCAAGATGATTTAATCATTGAGAGTTTAAGTCTCTATCTGTTATTAAATTCGAGTTAACAATGTTAATTTAAATAGTTCATTTAAGTATTAGCTAAATTCTTATAGTTATATAATTTATAAGACGTGAAAGGAAATTCCTTTAGTTTCATAATTGTTTAAGATAGTGCGAGTGTCAGAGTCAGGCGGCGTCGGGCAGGCCCATGGAATGGCGTTATTTAACTACCAACTTCTGTAGTATGCAGTAGTTTGTTAATTAAACTTAAACAATGTGTGATCCTCATAAAGATTTAATTGAAAATTTTATTACCAGAGTTATGTTAATAAATATTTCCCCACATTCCTCGTGTCACATTAAAAGCCGCTGCGTCAATAGCGTTAATTTTCCTCCCAAGGCAAATATCTTTTGAACTCTGTTACCTGCACACTTTTCACTTTATAAGATTCTCTTGACTGTAACTAATCCATCGTCTCTGGTAAACGCTGTGTTGCTGCTATTGCTGCCGCGATACACAGTGGACAGTGGTGACGAAACAGTGCGCTCCTGAGGACGGTGGCGACGGGGCCGGATCCTCCTGCTCCAACCAGCGGACCACACTCTGCTCTGACATCTCCATCGTTGAGCGAAAGTAAGAATCTTGCTGTGATGGTCAGACACACACACACGGGTTACACTAACGTGTAGCATCACTTATTTCTCTCTGTTCAGACCTTCTTCGAATATGTCATCTCTCTATACTCTAAGCCATTTTCATATACCCAATGTTGCATCTATCAATACCCCTAAAGTAGCAGTTGCATATACCAAATGTTCCGTTTATAAATGTACACCATCTGCCTATACCTAATGAACCATCTATCTTTACTTAATGAGAAATTTGTCTTTACTTAATGAGAAATTTGTCTTTACTTAATGTTTCATCTACTTATTACCAATGTACCACCTAATTATATCCATTGAACCATCTACTTAAGTCATATGCACCATTTGTATATACCCAATATTCAGGTTATCAATTCCTTAAGTATCATTAAAACTCATTGCCTTATCTGTACCAAAGGCTCCCTCTACCTATACTTAAAGTACCATCTACCTACACCCAGTGCATCATGAACCTATTGAAATTATACCATATATATATATCTTACCAATATATCAAACTATACTTAGTGCAACACATAGGTATACTCAATGCACCTAGTGACAACAATAGGGATATTTATGTCAGGTTTCCTGGCATTGTCCGTATGCACTCTGGCTGTGGTATAGGAGTGGCTACCTCCAGCGCTTCTCTTCAAATGCAGAAAGAAGTGCATTTGAAGAGAAGCGTTGAAGGTAGAGCTTCTCCTATTCCACAGCCAGAGTGTATGTCCTCCTTTACCACGGCCAGAGTGCATGTGGGAAATGAGTAAAACCCTGACTAGATTCCAGTGGAAGCTTCAAGACTGTAGAGGAATCGAATAAATCTGAATACTATTATATTCTAAGTCAATGGCGATGAACACCAGTCCGAAAACTTTTATTCACAAGTCGAAAGACTCTTACACATTTAAATAATTTTTGTATAAAATAAAAATATATATTAACACACGTTCAAAAAATATAAATATTCAAGTCCAAAAAAATGATCTATAAACGAGTTAAAAAAAAATAGGTGTACACAGTCCAAACACTTGTGTGTCCCTCGGTCTCCAGGGTACCATCATTCCCTCCTTCCTAAGGCTTCTGTTCAATACAAGACTCTTGGGTCCCAATCAGATCGTTGATTGCTCAGCAATTTATGTTATTGTCAAATGTATGTATTCATCTATCTGGACTTACCTCTTCATACATATCTATTTATACTTAACCTTTCAGTTCCATACCATCTTTCCTTCTTATCTTCACAGCTCCATACCATTGTGTACCCACCTACTCATACTTCCCTTATGCCATGGGATTTATGGGAATTAATGGTGGAATATCAGTTTCAGGAAAAATCCATTGACGTGGGTCAGGCCTTGAAACACTCGTGAATGTGTGATTATCTCTTGTATTCCAATAATTCCATCCCATTTCTTGAACTTATTCCAGTGTTACTTTTATTGCAGATAGTTTTCTAGTCTATTCACATTTTGCTATTCATGGTAATACACATAGAGTCCAGCTTTCATATTATGTATTCTCGACTATGTGTACCCGGCTAGTCGTATTAAGAGTCCATCATCCATGTTGTGTGTATACTCTCCGATTTGCGTTTGTACGGATATTCCAAAACATTTCTCAACTCTTTTAGAGTGTGTAAGAGAGAGCGAGAAAGTGAGTACATGCAAAAGTGGATGAGACTGTGAGCGTAGGTCAGGATGAATGAGTATGAGCGATCGTGAGTGAATGTGCATAACTGTGAGTGGTTCCTGGAATTCTATAAAAGAATTAAGACCATCCCAACCATACTCACACTTCACCGTTTACTCATGCATTGTTGAATGTTTTTTCTGTGCTAGGGTGTAGAGGAGTAAAGTGAGCTTCTTTGACCCACCTCAATCATTTAGCTTCATTTCATCAGTTATTGTGTCTGTTTAATTTATCTACACCAGCTAGTGTATTATGATCTCAAGCTACAGGAGAAACGAGTCTGCCCCTGAGAGTTAGTCTGCAAGACCTGACCTAACTAAGAGGTCAAGGAGATATAGACCTGGTAATATACATAGTAAACACTTGATTAAATTTGACGAGTAGTTTAAAAGTATGGGCAGTAAGTAAAAATATAAATAAATGACTTGACATGAGATGTGGAGAAATTGCTGGAGGTGTGAGGCTCGCTTCTGAGGACGTTGACTTCACTTGAGATGAAGAAATCGTGAGGGGAGGTCGTGCTCCGTCGAGCCCCTGTTGAGGAAGAACCCCTGATTATTATACCGTCAAGAAGAAGGAAGTGGACAGACGTCTCGCTTGTGGAATAAGTTTGTGGACGTGTCAGCTCAAGTCGTCAACTGCAGAAAGAGTGTGGAGCAGTTTAAAGCAGTTCTGTTTGCAGCCGAGGGCGCCCTATGTGTCGACCACTCAGTCAGTAAGAGCCGCGAGTGGACCAATTCTGTGGTAAGCTCATTTTAACCAGTTAAAAGTGATTGCCTGTAGTTGATCTTGTGCACAGAGGCCGTAGCAAATGTTTATTGATATGTTAGGCATGTTTTGATAAGGCAGAAAGCCTAAATAAGAGAATAGAGACGAGAGTACCAGCTGAGGTATGGAGCTGCTCATCCTCTCTAGTCGAGATCTTGGACGCAACTGAGGGCAGGCGCCTGGCGAGTCTCCCAGGGCGGAGGATGAACCCGTCCAAATGTGGAGGATTCACCTCACAGTATGTGGGAAGCAGGGAGATGTCGGATGGAGATATTTATTATGTGTAGTTTATTTTAGTTATATGTTTGTAGAGGAACATCTTTATTTGGCGTGTCAATGGGTTGCAGGTTTGTCTAGGGAAAGGAGTTGCTGAGAACTTCGAGCCAGTAGGCGCCTGACAGCTGGGTGGACAGCGCTTCGGATTTGTAGTCCTGAGGTTCCGGGTTCGTTCTCCGGTGGAGGCAGAGACAAATGAGAAAAATGTTTCTTTCACCCTGATGCCCCTATTACCTAGCAGTAAATAGGTACCTGGGAGCTAGGCAGCCGCTACAGGCTGCTTCCTGAGAGGTATGTAACAAAAAGGAGTCCTGGTCGAGGACCGGGCCGTGGGGATGCTAATCCCCGAAATCCTCTCAAGATAACCTCAAAATAACCAGTAGAGTGAGTTAGTGGAAGGGACTCCAAGGCTGTTGAAGGAGTTGTGTACTCTGAGGAAGAGTAGCCCCCCACAGTGAGGAGTAGGACTTCGAGCTGTGAGGAGAAGTGGTGAAGAGGAGTGTCACGTGCTTCTGTAATACCAGTGGTGAAACACCAGTACTGTTCGAGGAAACTTCATTGTGTAGCAGCCTGGAAAAGCTGTAGAGGACTCTGGTAGATAATTGTGGAGGAACCTAAAGACGTTCAGGATAGTGAACCACCAGGTGTAGAGAGGAGGTTCTTATTGTTTACCTATAGGGAGTTTATGAAGTATTTGAGTGTCATTAGTGTGTATGACGCAGTGGGAGGTGACTGACTATTTTTTATATCGAGAAATGTTTATACTGGTGTCTATAGTGTTACAACCATTGACTGGATTTCCTTGTGTATATTTATATATGTTCTAGGGCTGATAGTGCCATATTGTATTACAAGATTTAACCTACTAAGTGAGGTTGGTAGCATAAGTGGCAAGCCAGGAGTTGTGCTACCACTTGATATAAGCAGCTGATAGAGTTCCGATGGGATTGGATGCAACCTGACCATAATAGCATAGAGTGTTGGAGTCATTATTGTATCTTGTATGTGTTGTACATGATCTCTGTATATTAAATGTTCATATCCAGCAGGTGTTTGCTATTGTCCTAGTGAGGCTTCCCAGAAAGTAGCAGAGAGAGAGAGAAAGAACCACAGCTGTGGACAGGGTGGTACAGAATTATAATTCGAAGAAAGATGGATTGAGGAGGTCATACCAAATAACGAGGCCAGTGTTGGGGCCGCACCCCTAAATGTGTAACGCTGAACACCTCTCGAAGAGCACGAAGCATACAGGGTGATCTCCTGACCGAAAGTATAAGATCTCTGTGGGTTTTGGTTGGTTGTACGGTAGGGACGTATGCATTCTACCTACAACACACGTAATAATATTTGGTGGAATTTCCGGAAGGGACAAACCATCAACTTGCAACAACATTATAATATTTGGGGGCCCTGTCCGGGAGAGTGAACTGACACACCCACACCATGTCCGAGATTGGACTGGTATACCCTTTGTGAAAATAAGCCTACATATTTCCAAATTATCATTGTGACCGTAGGTGTATATTCTCTCTCTTTGGAAGACTCACAAGACAGAATGGCAGCTGTTCTGAATTTTAGATGTTCGGAGAAAGACCTTGCCAGAGCTCAGAAGGACATTGATACAGGAGATGATGAAATTTTGCAGAATTGTACCCAGGAACAACTTTGATTGAGTGCTAGGATATATGGTATTAGGTTGAAATCAAACAGGGCGTCTAGGAAACGGAAAAAAATCAGGGCACTAACACAGGTAGACAGTGTAAGCATGTTCTGCAAAACTAGTGACGAGAAGATTCTGGACATGTGCACTAGGAGGCAGATAAGGATGTTGGAAGACCATTTTGGCCTAAAGGGTAGGCATGATAAGGTAGAGGATAGATGCGAGGCGCTGCGGACATGGTTAAGGGAACAAAAAGCAAAAGAAGAGAAGGAAGCAAAGCGCCAATGCGAGGAACAGGAAACAGTGCCAGCAAGGAAAGCACTGAGGCTCGGCCTCAGAATGAAAAGCCCGAAAGGTTGGAAGAAGTTTCAGAGGAAATGGATGATGTGCCAAGGGACGAAGGAATTAACGTAAACACAAGTAGCAGCAGGGAAAGCAACCTTGAGAGGCGCGAGGTGGAACCAAAGTTGGAACCAGAAGACAATGAGGTACAGCAGCAACGCAAGGAGAGGCAGGCTCGGCTCGAACAAAAGATAGCCAAAGCTGAGCAAGAGAAAGTCAAAGCCGAGCAAGAGAGAGCTAAAGCTGAG